TCCGAGTAAAAAAAGTGATTAAGTTAATCAGAATCAGTCAGCAAAATGATTGAAATTGGATAGATGCGGCAATAAATATTGTTTCATGCTTTAATTAATCGATGCGAAATCTGGCTCTAGTGATTTTGACCATTATTATTCGAAAAATGTTTCATTTTACACCAAAAACATGATTTGTCAGAGCCCGTGAAAATTTATTTCGATGGTCGACACGAAGTGGTGCTCTGACTAAATAAAAAGTTAACATTTAATTTATGACAGTTAAGCCTGACTAAAAGGGTTCGATTCAGAGTTAGAATCGTATCGTTGGTGTAAATTGTACGTAAGATGGAAGTAAAGTAACGCGTTGATAACAAACAGAAAACAACTAGGAGACATGATGAGGATGAGAAGAGATTGTAAAAAGGTGTTTCGAAGCGTCATGACGGCAGTAAAATTACACACAAAACTATACCCATGGCAAAAAATTTGAAACAACAATTTTTGTTGTTATTGTTCGAGGCGTCGTCTGTTTTTATTCTCTCTCGCCCTGTCTGTTTCTCTTTCTTCTCTCTCTCTCAACATATTTTCTATGCCATTTTGTCGGTGAGATTGCATTCTCGGAATTCGGTGTGTTTTTGTGTATGGTGTGAGTTGGTTCTATTGCAATCGTATGATTTCACCGTTTGTTGTATTGCTTTTATTTGTGTTTGTCGTTTGTTTTCATTTCGCTTTGGCATTGTTATTTTTAAATGTTTCGTTGAACACGGATTCGTGTGTTTGTGCACGTTTCCATTTCTATTGCAATTTTACCTTGCATTTATTTTTGTTGTCTACTCGGTGTGTATTTTTTGTTGTGTCGGCCAGGTCAAAGGTGCTTTTGTACTGCCGTGACATGTCCTATGCCATGCGAAACAGACAAACCCATTTATTTGGCAGAGAGCGACACAGAGTTTGAGAATCGAAAATGGCAAACCGGAATGGAATGAAGAGGAAATCAAAACTGAAAAACCAACACAACGAACAAAACAATCGAGTCAAAAGAAAACATCGAAACATTGGGATTGAGTCGCAAGCATAACACAAACTACATCAGCAAAACGAAGCCACAGAGAACGAAGAAAAAAAAAACGATGAAGATACATTCATGCAAAAATATCGAATGGAAGGAAGAGGAGGTGGGAGAGATGAGATGAGAAAGCACAGTGAACGGAGCACAAAATCCGACAGACTGTGATAGGGAGGCAAAACAAATTTTGCATCTGTTTCGTATGTTGCTGACGGTGTTGTTTTCGCCATTCGGGTTCTCTACATTTAAATAGGATCACTCCAGAACTGGTTCCCATTCCAATGACAGGCCCAGCTCAAACGGATCTCAACATCACTTTGGCATTTATTCAAACTAAAATGAATATATGAATGAAGCTAATTTTATTGAATTTTCGTTTTTTCCTTCTCTGTTGTTGCTGATGCTTTTTTGATGTCCTACTGTTTGGTCATATTTGGTCGAAATCGAACATGAAAAACAAAAGCAAAAGCTGCTTGTTTATACGAACTGTGTATCAATGACCTTTGTCGTCGGTTTTTTGTCCTATCCGATTGGACCACTTAACTGGTAGACAAAAGACCATGGAGGCAGAAGCATTGTATCGAAATGAAATTGCGAAGGTGCAATATAACAAACAACTACCCACACAATTTGGTCAATAGCTAGCAGCTCATATAACAAACCATACCATCTCTCTCCCTCACACTCTCACACATTCATATTTTCCAAATTTATTTATAGAATGTAAACATCGCATTCATTTTTGTATGCAAAGCACATGAACAGTTTTATGTTGAACTAAGTCGATACAATGACTATAAATAACAATTGCTTGATATTTGCCATGATCTATGAGTTTAAGTTTTGCAAAAGGAGAGCACAAAAGTAAACAGTAAGCAGCCATGAGTTGTGTAGTCAAACAATGTAGCGCACAGACACTATACAAATTATGATTGATTTTCGATGGGCCACCTCCCCAAACCGGCTATAAATATTCATTTTGCATACGAGGAATTTTTCGTGTTTGTGTGTGTGTGCTTTTGTTGCGAATGAAAGTGATATCGTCAACAGAAAAAGAATCCGCTGAGTCGTTTGCGAATTCAATGCACTATCAGCACAAGGTTTCGCATATATGATGCTGGTGACAGTGGTGGTGTCATGTGTAAATAAGCTCACCATGCCGCTTCTGTCCTTTACTGTCCAAAGCCTACTGATAATAACGACGGCATCACAAAAGAAACTTTTCGTGGCGAATCGTTATCATCGTTGGCTGGCTCAGAAGAAACGGCACATGCATAGTGTGCTGGTGGCTGGAAGTTTTGTCAACAAAGGACCAACCGTGTGCGTTTCTGATTAAAAAAAAAAAACAAGCGAATAAATCAAAATAACTCCACGTCTAATGCACGTTACTGTACCAACGAGCGCGTGGGCAAGCAACCAGCTTCATTACCGCCAACCAACGCTCACAGTGAATTATGCACTTTTCCTTTTCAGTCGGCTCGTCTTTCAATATTAATTTTACGTGCGGGTGTTAGTTTATGTGTGCTTGGTGAATATAATCGATTTTTACTTAATTACAACCACCGATGACTCTTCACCGGCGACAAAAATAAATCACCATCCGAATCGTCCGAAACAACCATCTAACATAAGTGAGCTTTTAGCATCACCTTCTTCTTATTTGGATGTGGTAAATGCCACATTTTTCACCATTTTTACGACATTTAAAATAACAATGGCTGTTGCAAACAAAAAGAAAAGTGTACAGAAGAATTTGAAACCACTCAAAATCAAATGGTTTTATTTGAAAAAATTTTAACACAAAAAACGAATGCAAATGACTTTTTCAATGGTAAATTAGATTTAAAAAGTTTCTCCATTTCAAAATGAATGTCATTTGTTGATGGGTTGCCAGTTAATGAAAGGCGGAATTTATTCGTTTCACAGTGAAATTTTATGGCTGTGTACAACGATTGACAATCAATGAAATAACGACCGGCGTATTCTCAATCGTCGTCTTTCTTCTTTTTTCCCTGCCGCAGAGCTCTCGCGATTTACGACTCACAAAATGTTTTGTCTCATTTGGATTTTCGATGTGATGGTTTCCCGCTTGCAATGTTCGTGAAACTCGCACGCGCGCACCAGCTAGAGCCAAGCGCGAGAAGGTAATAAAAGTAAAGGAGCGTAATCAAAAGTTAATTTGTCATTGTAGAGCATAGCATCGAGCAGTGTGATGGGCAGGTTGATTAAATTAACATAACAATAGAAGTGAACATTTGCCATTTACATTTCATCTACAACTCGGAACTGAATGGAATGTAGCCATTCATAGTATAGAAGTGCAATCGTCATTGAGTGGCTCATTCGAAAGCGAATGGCTGGTTGTGAGCGTCTCTCTCTCTCTCTGTGTGTGTGTGTGTGTGTGCGAGGGAGAAGGCGAGAGCATGAGAGCAGAGGCGAGTAAGTGAGTCTTGTCGAGCTGGAAAAAACAACGCTAACGGCATAGCACAACAACATCATTCAGCGTCAAAACAGTAACAATCCAATAAAGCAAATAAAAATGTTGTAGACTATAGGACAACACAATGTGGAGTAATAAAAATACCTTGGCGCGTGCACACGAACCGAACCGAGCAATTTTCAGCGAAGCAAAGAGAGATTGAGCAAAGCAGCACAACGAAGAGGAGAACGATCGAGCGGATAGAAAAGAGTGAGAGAAAAACATTACTGAATTACCGAGACATTTAGCTTCATTGCGTTGAGCAGAGAGCAAAAAACAAATACACACAGAAAGGGAGCGAGCAAGTGCGACGCAATTGGAAGTTCCAATTTTGAACAGAAATAAAAACCGCCGAACATCAAGCAGCCACAAGGAAACTAGAAAAACAATAGCAAAAATTGTCAAGCACCCACCAAAATGGGTGGAATGGGAAACGTGTAACCAAATGTTGGGGCCGCAATCATGGGGAAAATCGCTAAGCGATGTGAACCCAACGAACGAACCGAACGAGCAACGGATCGGAACAGAGCACACGGCCAACATTAGGAAGAAGAGTGAGAGAGAAAGAGAGAGAAATTATGCTGAGAAAAAACAGCAAATCGTTTTGCACGAAAGTATTTGTTCGAAAAACTATTAAATAAAACGTGAACAATGCGAAAAATTGTCAATTTTACGGTACTTCTTGATGGCTGTTGTTTGTTACCGTTGCCACCGCTACTTTTTTCCCCTATTTGTAGTGTTTGCCGCTTACGCTTTATTCGTTTATTGTTGTGTATCTAGATGTTTCATTACAGAATTGTGTTCCTGTGCGTTGTTTTTGCTCACACAGTTTTTCTTCATTTCTATTGTTGTTGTTTTTTTTCGTTCGTTCCTTTTGAGATTGGGTGTATGTGTTTGCAGTTTTATGCCGTTTTATTTGTGCTCGTTTCTGTATTCGCATTTACACTAATTGTAACTTTGGCGTTTTTTTTCACTTCACCAGCAATTATACCGTAATAAGTACACACACACACACACATTTAGCCTCTCTGTACATTTGCCCTTGTTTTTTTTTCTCTTCTCAACTGTTTTGTTTCGATTCTCCAATGTGCTGCAATCTGAAGCGCTTCTGAACAATGCGAAATAAAATGAGAACGTCGATTTAATAACATTCCAGTAGAAAATTTCTGCAATTGGATGGATATTGTTTTGTGAATCAAAAATCATGGATCAGAGTTGGTGCTGTTTGGAGTGCACTGAGCGAGCACCAACTAATGAATGGAAAATTGGTGTGCATGCTATGAGTTTTTTCTTCTCTCTCCCCCTCTATCCACAATTCCATTATTTGCAAGAAATTAAAGCATTTGAGGTGGAGAGAATCGACTTGGAAACTTTAATTAATTCCAAGCGCTTTTTTCTTCGCTCTCTTTCTTGGTTGAGTCACAAGAAAAGGCTATGCGAAAATTTCAATTGTATGCAATAATTCAGACTTACCTGTATAATGGTATGCCGGCATCGTCGCGAAACCACAAAACCATGTAGACCTTATCTCTGGACGGAGGTATTAGCGGACATGGCAAGGATATTCGATTCCCTTCAACAGCCTGTACATCGATCGTTCGCACTGCAACGGAGAAAAAAAGAGAAGAAACATTGAATTTTTACGAAAAAGAGAATCGCTCTTTTTTAAAGAGAAAATTAAAGAAGAAATTCTAACGCCCCGGAACATTTTTCCAAGCATGAAACAGAACACGAAAAAAACATCCCCAAATGGTCGAACATAAATATTATAAATTACTGAAATCACATTATAAAATGGTTGTAGCGAACAAACGCGTTTGTACCAAATGACTCGTGAACGGAATTTAAGTGGCCGCACATTCAAGCTGCGCGCGCGTTCACCACCATGAAAACCATTTAATATTCAATCAAGCCAAGTGGCATAATAGCGTCGAATTTCTAGTTCACATTATTTCTGTTTTTCTTCTTCATCGTCTTCGTCTTCTTCTGCTTTACACCCAATCCAATTCATCCATTCGCTCATTTTGCACACATCGCCATTTCATATACAGAAACAGAACAGCAAAAAAAAAACAACGACGACCAAGAAAAATGGTGAAAAATCATAATTAAACAGTACTTTTTATGTTAAGCACTCGTGCGCTTCGACTTCCACACAGATTGTGTGTATGGGCTATTCTTTTTTTTCGACTGCGGTAGAGAGAGAGAGAGAGAGAGAGAGAGAGAGCGAACGAAAAAAATCTTCGAGATTATTTTCAAATGTTAAACCATGTCATGGAATACCAATTGAATGCATTTAGTGCATACGCAGTGTAGTGCAATGTGCGAGCAGGCGAGCACATCGACCGAAATGTACGTGAATCCATCATAATTATGGCTCTCGCTATTTCATAAATTTTCGCTTTATTTTAATTTTGCCCCGACCAACACACGGGTTCGTCGTCGTTTTTTTTTTTCCTTTTTTTGCCAACACATTTCTACAGTAGCAGCTCAAAAGCCAGTGAGTTTTCGGAACAAAAATTCTTTTTCATCGCCAAGGGACAACGGGAATTGAAGAGGTAGATAGCACTCATACATATCAGTCAATTTACAGAGTCGAAGCTATATGTCTCATTACTTGGTACCAATTAAAATGATAACCATTCCAAAATCCACCGAATTGTCATTCCACACATTTGAACTCTTGTTTCTTTTTTTCTTCGCATGGTTTGCGATTGTGATTCTGGTGTGTGATTCACTTCATTACTGTGATATCCGTAGTACGGATTCCGTTCAAACGTCTCGTTTTTCGTTCAAAGTTTTCCTGTATCCGAAATCTAAAACGTGTTGTCCGAATCACATTCTATTGATGGAATGTGTAATGCCCGAGGAATATTTGTGAATTCCAAATGCAGTCAAGATTGAGAGAGTGTGAGCGAGTGAGAAAGAGAATGCGAGAAAGAGAATCCATTGCAATTGTGCTGGATTGATTTGGAATGAAAACACGTTTCATTGCCGTTGGTTTCTCACTCTGCCCCTCTCCTTATGTGTGTGAGTTGCTTTTCGTCGCATCCGTTTTGATTTATATCCATATCGCCGTTCGTATACGCTAGCATTTCGTCGACACTTAAAAGCGATTCGTTACTCGCTTCTCCTTCTTTTTTTTCCGTCTTTTTAAATATGATTTTTCATTAGGAACGTGAGAATTTTGCCAATGATTATCAACTCAACATTTCACAACTTCAATGTTGATGCTTCTGCGGCTGCGGCTGTTGCTACTATGGGAGTGTGTTTGAGATTAATCGCATGCGAAAAATATTGTGTGCATTTATTTCCGTCATATTTTCTCTCTCTATTACTCTTGCTTGCTCGTTCCGTGTTTGTGTTTGTCGAAAATCCACTTCATCAAAAATATTTTCCTTCTTTCAATCGGAAAATCGTTATCAATACAGATTTTCTACGTCTTCTCATGCTCATCAATTCGAACAATTGAACGAAAAGCGTTCAAGAAAAAACTTTTACTCTTGCATTCTGCTCTAACCAATAATAAATAATACGAGAGAAAAGGAAGAATGAAGAAGATGGAAAATTGTAAGTCAAGGAAGAGAGAGTTAACTTTTATTTACCGTGAGTCAATAATCAAAATGCAGAAGTTATTTCGGGAAAGCGAAATGTCTTGCACAGTGTGCGCTTCGTTGGTGGATGCAGCGCAGCGCAGCATCGATCGAATTACAGTAAGAATAATCTTTCATTCGTTTTTCCAAATCAACGCATAAAAATCAATCAATCAAAAAATCGACGATGGGAAAAAACACGCCACACACAAAACGGATACTGAACGAGAAAGAGAGAGAGAGAGAGAGAGAGAGAGAGAGAGAGAGAGAGAGAGAGAGAGAGAGGCGAGAGTAGGAAAAAATGGTTCCGTGCTCAATGCACAACCTCAACATCAGTAAATAAAAATTTGATAAATGTGAATTTGTTTTTTTTTCTGTTTTTTTTATTCTGTAGGAATGCGGCATCTCATATTGCCATTCGTCAGATTCACACATCGATTGCATTGTCATAAAATTTCACACACAGAGGGAGAAAATAAATATCTATAAGTCGAAAAGGAACTGGTGTGTTTACGTTCGATTGATTTTCGAATGCGCTCGCAGAATATTCGCAGGCTCGAGCGCACGCACACAGCCATTTTTCTATTTGATTGAACGTGCAGTGCACAACGAGAGAGCACACAAAGAGCGAGCGAACTGATTCGAATGCAGGAAAAATTATTAATTCAAAATAAATCGATCATACTCGGTTTTTTGATGAGCGAACAATAGCACAGTGCGAGCGCTTTCATACGAATTGCAAGAGCTTTCACAGGAAATGCGAACAACACGAACAAAAAAAAAATCGTAGTCGTAATTTTTCATATTTTTTCGCGGAAGTTTATTTTATTATCGCGAGTCCACATCCGGCGGTGAAATATTAAATGATGAGAGGTTTTTTTTTCTCGTTTGCTCGTCCAAGTTTCGTGGTTTATGTGTGCTATTTTAATTCGAACATTCTTCGACTATACCAGCGCACACCGGATACTCACACACGGAAGATCTTGGTATGGGAATGAAAAGGTCACATGCGAAGCCATCAGCGAATTACGAAATCACACACACAAACATCAGTTTCACATTCTAGTGATGCGATTTGCATGCGCTTCATTATTCTATCGTTCGTGGTGGGATGCTTCAAAAGTAATCACAGCATTTTGTTACATATATTTTCACTTCATTACACGACCAACGAGAGATGCAACTTTGGATGAGTGTGTGTGTGTGTGTGTGTGTGTGTGTGTGTGTGTGTTTGTCAATGAATGTGTTATCGTTGCATTTGTGCATTGAATGTTGAACCTCTAACTCGGCAATCGTTTACGACTCTCACAAACGGAGAGATGAATTCGTCAAAGAAAAATTGAGATCACGTTTATCTCATTCGAACAGTCTTTCGGTGCTTCGTACGCAAAGCGATATTTTTTGTTCCCTTCATCTTCATCGCGTTTGACACGTCGTCAGCCAAAGACTGGCTGTTAAAATGACAAAGTGTTCCGAATATCGGAATGTCAAACAAGGTTGTATGTGTGTGTGTGTGTGTTTTTAGTGCTCACTCACGTTTTTAGTGCACATCCTCGTACAACCAAATTGAAAACTTCGACACACAATGTTATCCCGTGGAAACACAAATAGTTTCACTTCTTTTAATGTCCTTTGCATTTTGCTGTCAAAAAGGAGCAAAAGAAGATGATGAAAATAAAAATGCATGGAAAACGCAGCAACAGCATCAGCATTGGAATAGCACACACAATGATGAAATATTTGCGAGGCACGTTTGCAATTTTAATGTTCCTCTCAAACCGAATGTGTGCGCGCCATGATTGCACCCAACCAAAATTCATAATAGAAATTGCCAAAGAAAATCTGAGCACGAGTATGCAAGAAAAGCCCGAATTAAATTATACATGGACTTGACTTTTTTCACTTTCTCTCTCTCTCTCTCTCTCTCTCTCTCTCTCTCTCTCTCTCTCTCTCTCTCTCTCTCTCTCTCTTTCTCATCAGTGAGTGAACGAACGATGGAGCGACAAAGAGTATTTGGGTTGGTTGTGTTTGCTTGTGTGTGTGGTGTGGCTCAGCGCTGACGTGTATTGTATCCATATTTCAATTTTCATATGGAAATTTTTGGTAGGAAAACGTGCATATTTGAACAGGTTCAGTGTAACTGACAAAATTGCGTTTGTCATCTGGATTTATCTATAATTGAAATCAATTATATTGTATTCACAATGCACATGTTACAAAGCGACTAACAATAAACACGCTGACGGATAGAGGGAAATGACAAAAAGCGATGGCGTCGTTGTCGTGTGCATAGACTGCATTGTAGTTACCTACATTTCAATCAGAAGAGCAAAAGAGCGAGAGAAAGGAAGTGCATTCGGTATGCACAAAAACTCAGTGATATTCACCAATGATGCTGTGAATTGGTCAATTGAATTCGCTATGCGATAGAGGATTCCATCACAAAATTTAATTCCGCACAAACGGTCCCTGTGCAATACGTGGAGTGAACGTACAAACCTTGGATCGCATTTAAAAAAAAAATCGATAGCAAAAAATCTCCACACAGAAATGAAAATATATATCGATGGAATATGAAGATCAGCTTGATTAATTCAACGGGAAGTTTGTGATTCGGCGAATGAATATGTACGATTTGCTCAAGTGTGTATCGATATGAAGTGGAGACAGGCTTCGGTGCATTCTTTGCATTTTGCTTTGGCTTCGCAATATGCAACCGAACCGGCGAATGAGCAAAAAAGCAACTGAATGTTTCGTTCGATACAGGTTCGAGAGTATGCGATGCAAACGATTGCATGCGCTTCGTTCTCCGCACGTATTTCCATGTTCATTGATCTGTGAATATTCATAGCTTTTGTTGTTTAAACATTTCATGAATGCAGCATATTTCTGTGGGGATTCTTGTGGCACTAAGACAATCGGCACCGGAAAATTTTGCTTTTCTTTGCCCGTTATTCGATTTCTCGCTCTTTAATTCGGCTCTTTTGTTCCGAGCGTACAAAAGCTTTAA